AGTGCCTCTGTCTTTGCCTCCTACTCTGCTGTGGATTCCTCAGCCTATAACAGGACCTATAGCTTTAATGATATTTTCAGGCAGAGCCAAGTCTGCTTCTTGCTGTCCTGAGTCCAATAAACTGCAGTCATCGAGTTTCAGGCTCTCTTTGCCTTGCCGAATTTTGAGAGGCCCCTTGCATCTCACAGGCTGGTTTTAGGGACAGCAAGGTGCTCCAAGGCTCTCAAACCCTTAGCAGCCCACAGCAGAGAGGCAGCGTTGTGAATGGGCTTGGCACAGCCGGCTGATTTAGACCRCGTTTCCAATTAGTTTTATCATTTTCAGAATCTTTGCCCTCCACATATAACACATGCAGGTCAAAGGGGGCTGACCATGCTGCTTTGTTTCACCTTGCCCAGCTTGGGCAGTCTCAAAGAAGAYCTAGGTTACAAGGTGAGTGGTGCTGATGTTTRGACTCAAYGATTTTAAAGATCTTTTCCAAATGGAACATTTGTATTGTTTTGTGATTAAATCCTGATGATGGAACAGAAACACTACGGTGTGGACTCAGTTTATGCTGCTTCGTCACTTGCATCTAGTCCAGCTCAGGATTCACCCTCAGACTTTCTCTAAGGAAAGCAGGTCTGGTCAGATGAGCTGGGCGAGGGACAGAATGTGGAATTAGGAACTGAGACTATGCAYTACAGTTTCTGAAAGAGCTGTTGGGGGATGGCTGCAGCCAGAGCTGTGTGGTACCAGGTGTCACTCACTGAGAGTGACACAGCTTGCACATAACATGTAGAGCTGGACTGTGCCTTAAAGCCATTCACTTCCAGTAACTTCAGGTGTCAGCATCATTACGAGGTGGATGAATGTCTACAAGGAGGATGTTTTCTTTTCTCCTGCCCTTTTCCCCTTTTGAGTAGCAGGACCATCACTCAGMGCAGTAATTTCTTGAGTATTCTTGTATCCAGGACCTCCTACTGCCCCTAGAACTGTTTTCATCTCAGCCAAGCAGGAAAGTAGCTAAGATAGAGAGGTGTGATGTCAGATCTGACAGCTGCTCGGAGTTAGAAATTGTAAAGAGGATACGAAGTGGCTGAAAAATGATCTGTCAGTCTTGTGTCCTCTGTTGAGCTAGGTCCATGGTTTGGTAGGAAGGGATGGCCTGGGGCAGCAGGCAGGGCTGTCTTCAAAACACCAGGAATACTCTCCAATGCTGAAGCCTTCCTTCATATKAACTTGGATTTGCTGATGTGAATCTGCACTTGCAGAAGCTGAGGGATATTTGTCACTTTTGTAGATCTATATTCACAAACATAWCCTAAGAATATATTCCCCTCCCTGGCCCCCTCCTTCCTTTTTYCCCCTTTCTGTTAGCTTTGCTTTCTCCATTAGAATTCTGGTTTCTAATTATATATTTTCTGGTTATTAAAACTCTTTCCTCTACACCCTTCCTTATGCCTCTTTCATAGCCTAAGCCAAAAATATTTGTCTACCACAAGTGATCAATGCCAGATTTGTTGTGTGGGCAGGATTAATAGTGAGGGATGACAAAATAGAGGCAAATTGATGCTTCACTAAAAATAGACCTGCTGCAGAAGGTAGAAACTGTTTCCTCATGTTGAAGCTAAAAGATAATTAATAGAGCAATTGGGATGAATTTGGGAAATGATTCTTGGTGAACCACATCCTTCCTGCACTCGGTGAAGAAGCAGAGGATGATACAGATTTGAAGCAAGCACAGCAGTGGTGAGAGGGTCGGTGTTTGCAGCCGTTGATCTCTAAAGCTGCCTGTCATTTGGCTTTGTTGTAAGTGGCTAGAGCACTGTTGCCCAGGGGGATGCTGGCAATTTTTGACATCTTCTTTTTTGGATGAGCAGGACTCTGTGTGGAGCTTGCTCTCAAGTGGAGCAGGCAAATTGTGCAGAGAGATGGACCATGACAAGSTTTCTTTCTTGCTCGCTTGTCTGTTTTACATCCAGTGTTTTACATTCTGGGATCAAGCCCTGAGACTTAATATAGCTATTTAATTGCACATAATTTAATCTGTTGTCCTGTAAATCATGTTCTCTCCTGTAAACTGTCTGACTGAAATGATGTTTTCATCCTTTTAATACAACAGATTATAGCAGCCAATTCCCAAGGCAGCACCTGCTGTTTAATTATAGCTAAGACACCACAGTTGCCAACATGGGGAAGAAACCTGTGCCAGAAATGAGACATTTCTGATGGTGGGAAACTGGAGGTGGCTGGAGGACAGGGAGAATGTCCAGGTGAGTCTGGTGCATACCCCTTGGAAGGCAATTTGCAGTGAGAGTAAAGGAGAAATAATAATATAAAAAGTTCTGGGATACAGTTAGAAATGTGTGCTCCTTTGCTAGTCAGGTTACTGCATCAGGAGATGCAGGGACCCCAACAGAGGACAGACCTGCTGGAATGGATCCAGAGGAGGGACACAAAAATGACCAGGTAGGGCTGGAGCACCTTTCCTGTGAGTGAAGGCTGAGAGAGTTGGGGCTGTTCAGCCTGGAGAAGAGAAGGCTCCAGGAGATCTTATAGAGACCTTTCAATATTTGAAGGGGGCTTACAGGAGAGATGGGGACAGACCATTTAGGCCCTAGCCTGTTGCAATAGGATAAGAGATAGTGGTTTTAAAGTAAGAGGGTAGGTTTAGATTAGATATTAGGAAAGAATTCTTTACTCTGAAGGTGGTGAGACACTGGAAGAGGTTACTCAGGGAAGCCCCATGCCAGGCACTGTTCAAGGCCAGGTTGGATGGGGCTCTGAGCAACCTGGTGTAGTGGAAGGTGTCCCTGCACATGACAGAGGTGTTCAAAATAGGTGTTTTTTAAGGTCCTTTCCYACCAAAACCATTCTATGATTTCAGTATGTGACAACTTGTGTTTATTTTATCTTTGTCAGTGGTAATGGCAGTTCCTCTATTTAGGAAGGTAGACACATCCAAACTTTAGTCGTATCACCTCTTAATCTTCCATTGAACAGTTTAGAGGAAAACTGCATCCCCCTGAAACCAGTAGGRGAAGCAGTCACTACTTGAATAATTTATTTCCCATGGCGATTCCAGTGATGCCCACTGATGACAGATTAGGCAGAGGACTTGTRACAAGGGTGGTAGCTGAGTGTCTGTAAACTCAGGGAAGCCCTGGGTAGGCAGAATCGGGAGAATAGATTTGTGCCCTCACCAGGAAGGAGACTGGCAGAATTCAGCTGTGACACTGTCCCAGGATCTGTTTTCCCAAACAAACATCGTGTGGGCATGGCCCAGTACATGTGCTAGACAGATGATCAGCCTACACACAACTCTTGACTTGTAGCAAAGCAGTATTTTTTTGCCGGGTGAAGGGTTTTTAACWGTGAAAGTCTCACAGTGAGAACWGGACATACATTGCTGGAAAGAGAGYTGTATCCATTCTGCTTTTATCAGAGCAGGTTATCATCAATGCAGATTTCCCTCCTCTCCTACTGCAGAGGCTTTACGGGAGTGGGTGTAGTAATTCTTTTGAACATTCTCACAAGGCTTTAGAAATGCCAACTTGATAAAATGTATAATTTTCTAAGGGCAACTCTGACTTCCCTTATGTATTGCCTCAGCTATACTTGGCATTCTTTAGTCTTCGCTAATTTTGTTCTTGGCATCTTGAATCCATGGGAGTCCTGGGCATGCAGGCTGGAAAAGACTTGATAAATTTAATTCTTCCTATGAGCAGAGGTAGTAGGATCAACATACCTAGACCACCCTGAAAACCTTATCAAGACATCTTGACAATTATTTGTCTATGCCTGTTCCTGAAGATCCTACATGAACAGGATTCTATATCAGTTGTCTACTTTAGGCTAAACTAACTTTATAATTAAGAAATTTAATTGGAATGATTAACTGAAGTCTTGCTTATTATAAATGCAGCCTTTTACATTCTTCTCCAGGCAGAGAACAACTCGAACAATGTTATTTAGTTTTAAAAATTTGTAATTAAGGTGTTTTACCATATAATCCTCATTTTCTTCCTGTGAGGCAAAACAAGTGTGTTCTTCCTAAGATTTTTCTTGGTCATAATTTTTAAACTATCAATATTGTTCACTAGATCACATTTTGGGTGAGAGAGATTTGAAAGAGGTTAAAACTCTGCTAAGAAAGAAAGCTATAGTTGTGGAAAGATACTTTAATTCCATCTCYGACAAAACAGTGGTGGATGTCTCACATGTCCAGTAATGAATAGGGAAAATTAAAAAAAAAAAAAAGGGATATGCTTCCTTCATAAGGCACACTCAGTTTTCAGCAATCAGTGGTTTAAGAGCTTCCTGAACTGGAGGTTGCATTTCTATCATCACATTTAATAGACGCTGATGGGCTAATTCAATTAACTAAAAAGGGGATTAGACAAATTTTATGGTTAATCTTCAAAGCATCTGGTGACATTGAGTTCCTCCATTTACGTGCTATCCACACAAAAAACATATTTCCCACAGCTTGTCTCAGATGTGCTTGCCTGGCAGCTTAACCACTGCTCCCACCCCTTTTATCCCCCACCAGCTCTTGCATTCTGAGAAATAGCAAGTGTCCTCCATATCATTTGTGTTTGCACAGACCAGTGTCAGCAGCAGCTTTTTTACAGAACTAAGAGTCTATCACTCCTGAAGTCCTAGAACAAAATGGAACTTCTCTAGAAAAATTATGGTAATTGGTCAGCACTCCAGGTTCTTGTCTCACAAGATATGCAACCAAAAGCTTGSTCTGGTGCTGCCCACTTCTGCCTGAGGTTGTCCTGGATCTTGGTTTGTCTGAAGAGAAGCTGCAGCCTGATTTCACTAAGGTTCTGAACTGACTCATTTCACCTGTGGCTTGTGCACAGTTACTGCACATTCCTGTCACCTGGGCCATGAACTTTGGGAAGTCATTACTGGCTCTTCTAGGCTAGGCCAAGGACCTCTTTCATCCACTTTGATTGGTGGTTCTGCAACACCAAGTAAATATTAAATACTGTTCCTGGCCAAATCAGTCTGCCAGTTCTTCACCTTAACTGTTCCATCCAGCTAAACAAAGAAAATGATCACGTAAGGATCAAAGCTGTCATCTGAAAATTTAAGGGTGAGTAGATGTGCTGAGAAATATGACCCCTAACAACAATTAAGCAGAAAAAATAATTGGAAATTTTTGATTTCTTGAAAGCTTAGGGAGAAGGTAACACAAAAATTTGATTTTTAGTATTGCACTGTAAATAACTGAAATCCTTATTTGCAAGGCCTCACCTCCAGAAGCTGGTGACTGCTTGGCTCATGGGCTGTTGGGTTCCAGCAGCTGGCTGGGAGTTGGGTGACAATCTGCCTCCTGGTAGCACCCTYAGCTTTGGTGCCCCTGTGCTATTCTGTGTCACCAGGGGAAGATGGAGGACAGATTTCTTGGTGGATCTCATTTGGACTGTCCAGCTCCTCCCAAGCTTTCCAGGAACTGCTGTAGGCTGAGGAGTGCCCCTGCCTGCTGCTCCAAGGATGACCTAAAACTGTTGCAGCTCCACCAGGTCCACGACAAAGGGTACCATGTTCTCCTTCCTCTCTTCCAAGCATGACCTGAATTAATGGCTTTGGGTGTAGCCATACAACCTCTGGAACTTTGTAAAAGGGAGTGGTGCGGCCATATAACCTCTAGTACTTTGTAAAAGCAGTTCTTGCCTCTCAACAAAGCAGCGTGGCCACCAGAGAAATGTAATAACCTCTTCTCTTTTCCCCTTTCCTTCCTGCAAATAGTGGGTCTTTCCTATTCCTTGTGTCTGTTTTATCATTCACACTTGCATGTACTTAATATATATACATTTTTCCAAAACAGCAGAATGGCAAGATCTGGTGTCAGTGTCACCAGGGCTGGCTCTGCAGGACTGTGGCTGGACTGAAGTGACCTGCAGATTAAACACTGCTCTGSAGGGCTGAAGTGCTACAGCATTCTGTGCCAGGACAAGTGCTGCTTCATGGACTGTGTTTGGAAGAGCACAGTAAACATATTTTACGGGATTTTATGAGGTTTTAGAAAAGACGTTGCACATTTTTTAATTTATGAGGGTAATGAAAGATCAAGAAGCATATTATGATTATAATTTGAAATCACCAAAGCTGTTTTTTGTCTTGTCTTGATTATTCTTTGACCCAATCTAAAATTTCTCTCCTGCACAGAAGTGTTCCACAGTTTCTCCTAAAATAGATCCATCCTGATTGTTCTGCTTCAGTAATGTTATAGGTCTGATTCAGTAAAAAAAGGAATTGCTGTACAGATGTCTTTATAAATATAATGAAAATGTTTTTCTTCTCTTCCTTTTCTTACCGATTCTCCACAGCTCGTCTCAGGAAAGTTACAAGGAACCTTCCAGAGAGCGCAGCTGGGAGCTGGTAAGTGTAGGGTGATGTCAAAATCATACAGTGGCCCTGCATCTATACTAAAGGGTAATAAAGTTGTGTGTAAGACAGGAAATCATAGACCAAATATTGGCAACCACATCCTATGTAGATTTTGCYGAGATTGGCTTTGATTGCCAACTGGTGGCCAGAAGCTGTCTCTGATTCAGCTCTTCCCTAAGGCCACCCACCTGGTGGCTCAGAGGCACTGGAGCAGCCAGGCYGCTTGTGGCCACAGCAGTGCTCTAGCCAGAGGTCAAGGGAGCATCTCCTGCCAACACAGAATGGGCTGATTCCCTCTTGTTGGTACATTTGGATTGGGTAAGAAATTTGGAATGCACTGTGTGCTGTGGTACTAAAGTGTGGGGTGTATTGATTGACCTCATTCCACTGGGAGAGTGCAGGTTTTGGGGTTTGCCAGTAGCCTGTGGAAACCTTTTGTAAGGCTGGGTRGGAGGAAGTGTTTCCAAACCACCCTTCTGGAGGGCTTCTGCTAACAAACTCATCAACTCCCTGCAGTGAATTGACCAAGGACCTTGCTGGGAGGTGGAATTTGCCATGGGCTGGGACTGCCCTACTTAACAAAATTACAGCTGCAGGTACTGGCTCTAGAGAGTCCCGTGAAGGCTGCTGTTTTCTACTAATGGCCTCTAGGTATTCCAGTGAGACTGAGCTTCCAGGGATATCTGAGTGATTTTGTGATCATCTTGGGCAAGGAGKAGGTGGCAGGGGAATGATCTCTCATAGCACATGCAGCTTCTGTAGCTGGACTGAAAAGGAGAACCAGGTAGGAGTTAAGGGGCAGGAAAGCTTGTTTGTTGGCTGTCAGGCTGACAGAAGACTTTCCTTTCTAAGCCTCAAGAATCCCAGTGTTACGGAAATTACGGCCTGAAGATAGCCCAAAGGAAGGCAAGCCTTGAGGTGGTAGTAGTCTTCCTGCATCCTGGCTATTCAAGAARGAATGTCCTTAATAAAGGTCTATCTGGAGAAGAGGCTGCTTTTTGACCTTCCTCTGCTTGGCTTTGATTTCAGGCTTTCCCTCACTTGTTTGTATAACACTGGGGCAAACTTTGATAACTTAAATTRCTGGCCTGGACCTCAAACAACTGGCAAAAAATGGTCAGAAAAGGCAGCGCAGCGCTGCTGCTTTCCCCTGGCTGGTGACCACTCCTTCCTCTTATCACTGAGGCCGTTGGTAGCTCAGATTGCTCTTGTTCTTGTCACAAAGGTTTTGGGTAGGAGGGGAATTGAGCAGGGAAAACACAACGTCCCAGCTTTGCAGGAGCAAGTTTTAAAGCCAAGTCTTGCCAAAATACATCCCTGTGCTCCATTTCCAAACTGCAGTCCGTGGCTGAASTTGAACTTTCCCTCTGAATATTGCTACACTAGTTTCTGGAAAAAGCTACCAGAAAACAGAATACAAAGGAAAACACAGGAGAGGAGAGGTGTTCACCACCTGCCTGTTTTTAAACAGGAGTCCACCTGCTGAGAAGGTCTGGTACAGTTCAGAGGGATCCTTGTTGTGWCACAGTGATTTTCCTATCTCTACTTCTAACCACCCTCTGTGGTCTTTTTTGGAGAAGGGAGAATGTGCTGCTCTGCTCCACAGAAGCTACTTATAGCAATGTTCATGGCGCTGGAGAGCTGTCAGCTTTGCTAAGTGGTGAGGCAGGGGGGAAGCAGATACTTGAGATAAGAATAGTAAGTGAAATCTTAAATTTGACAGGCCTGTCAAGGAGGAAATTACAGCTTGGAGGAGGAAAAGTGGTTGTGTTTTGAATTTTCTGTAGTAAATATAAAGTCTGGGGGTTTTGGCGGTGAGGAGGCAGTTCCACCAGGAATGTGTAAAGCTTTGTTTTGGACATGCCTGCCACAGCTGTTTTTCATTATAAGAGAGCAAGAGGAGGACTTGGTGACAAGGAAACCTTGTGTACTGTGGTAGAGCTGGTGCAGAAGATGCAGGAAGGCAGGAAGGGATGAGTGTGGAGGGAGCCTGGAAATCTCTTAAACAGCCCAGAATGAGTGACACCTGAAGTGACACYTGAATGAATCTGGCACAAGATTGCCCTTTCTTCCCCATCCCCACCAACACAAGCTGCTGACCTCACCTGGCAGGAAYTGCGGGGCAGCTCCCAGCTGTGCCAGGGGCCAGGCTCTTCTTTTTCATGGGCTGTGTTTAAGAATGTGATGCTTGCTTTTAAAATTTTATTTTAAATTCTGCTCCCWGGCCAGCTTGAACTTGTGCTGTGGAAGAAGTACCAGCATTTATGGCTGCTCTGCTGAGTTTCTGTCGAGATTTCTGCCAGAGGGAGTGGGTTAGGATACGAGGGGAGGTGAGGGATGTGCAGAAGAGCTCTATGAGTCCAATCTAGAAATGTGCCAGCGCACACACCATCACCTGCTGCTCACAGGAGGCACAAGGGAAAAATAATGTGTCCAGRGCCAGGCAACAGGCTGCAGTCAAAGCATGAGCAGTGCAGCCACACCTCTGCCCTTCCTGTTGAACTCTGCACTGCTCTGGATAAGCTGTCCTACTCATTCCCTGCTCCTTCATGTGGAGTATCGGCTCCTTTTTCTGCAGGATGTGTTCATGTAAATGGAATGCAATTTCCAGTGAAAATAGGAGAGAGATACACCTTCATCCTTTTCTTCTCCACCTGAGAAGGTTTGGCGCTGTACCAGTAACACCAGTGATGAATTTGGTGAAGGGAGGGTGTGGGGCTCCAGAAATGACAGTACTGCAGACCGGATGATCTGGTCTCACTTTTGAGGCAAACCCTTGGTTCTGTTTCTGAGCACTTACGACCATTTAAGAGGGCCATGATGGTCCTAGGATTGTTTGTGTAAGATATCAGGATGTTTCACTTCTCCTAACTGTCCTCCTGTTTAGACAGAAGAGGTGAATGATTTTTGCTTTTTCTTGAAGTGAGACTCAGCAGTGACAATATCCCAAAACACAGGAATGTCATGTTGTTGATGAGCTTGGTCTTTGAATACAGAGCTGTTTGCTCCCCCTCTTCCAGAGTGGATTGTGCCCACAATTTTGAAGTTCTGCCAAAATACTTTTGGATGCTTTCTCATTGCTACAGAGCAAACAAAGGAGAGTTCCTAGTGCAGACAGCAGGGAAATAAGGTCCAAGCCAGAAGTTGTTCTGCACCCTGTGGACACACTGGTGTGATAATGGGGAGCAGGACAGCCAAAGGCTAACTAACCCAGGGCACTGCCAGAAAACCAGACTGATGACCACCTCTCCTACCAGGGGTCTGGTGTTGGATTCTTATGGTGCTATCACATTGCCAAGAGCCTAGGTCAGTGGAGCCAAAATAAATATTTTAGCAAAGGCTGATGATCATCACAGGTTTCTTGGAGATTTGAGTGCTAAGACCATTCATTTCTGCCATAACAAAAAGCTCAGTTGCTCAGGTGGTCTCCTTCTTTCTCCTCTCTTTTCCCCCATCCCTYCTCTTTTAAACCATTTTTTTCCCCTAGGTTCCAAATGACCATATTGATCACTTACAAGGGCTAAAAATAAAGGTGAGAGTTGGGAAGAAATGAGAGATGGGAACAAGTGAGAGATGGGAACAAGTATTCTGCTTGTCACATTCAGATTCAGTTTGGGCAGGAGCACAAGGTAAGCAATGGTCTTTGTGTCCTCRCTCTGGGCAAGGGCAGTGCAGAGAGGATGTGCCAGCCAKGGGGGCGGAGGGGAAGGTGGTGATRAAGCATTGCTCAGCTGAGCCTGGCTGCTGCTTCCCTAGGTCTCTCTCCCTTCTGGCTCCCCAAACRGTCTGCAGCACTTGCAAAGAAAGTAGGGCTGGCTTCTGCTTCCCCGTCAGCTGAAATGCCACAGGATGTGGCTTCTCGTTTTTTCCTCTCTAGTCCTCTGGGAACAAAAAACCTTCATGTTCCAAATACAGGCTCTTCAGAAAGGAGGCACAGGCAGATTTCCCCACACTTGCCTCTSTGTTTTCCCCCTTTGCCCAAGCAGCACCACACTGAGTGCTGTTCACAGCTTCTTGCTTTACAGATTTACCTATCACTTACCTTCCTTTCAGCTCAAACTAACCACAAAGCCATACCTTCTAGTTCAAAACCCAGGAGTCCTAATATYTGACAGTAAGTAGACACATGGTCATATTTCAGCCTGTAGTTTTTAGAGGTCTGGAAATAAACACCTGGCTTCTCTCAGTGCCAAGCTCCTCAATAGCCTGTTATAGCCTACACCTACTAATGCTCTCAAATGCAGAGCTGTTAGAGCTGTTGCCCCTTTTATGGGTGTTTTTTCCCTGGCGTGCCTTCTTGAGGTGGACTCCCCACGCCTGCCCCCACAGTCTTGGCAGATAAAATGCAAGCTCTTTTTTTTTTTGCAAGTGGTCACTTTAAACTTTCCACTTCAGCTTGTTATTGCCCATTTGCTAAGAATCTTATTTCCTGTTGTTTTCTCTTTATTTCCATTTGGTTTTGGGTAGTTCCTGAGGTACAGTGTCCTCTCACAACAACAGCAGATGTCAGCATGGCTTGTCTCGTGGCACAGGCTGCATAGAGAAAACAGCACTGCCCACTGTGCCCACTGCTATGAGCTGGTGGCACATCAGGWAACTCCTTGGGTGCACAAAAGGCAAAGACAGACTGACTTTCATGTGGGGAAACTGATGGAACCAGTGTGCAGCTGTCATGTAGTGGGCTTTACTGGTGGAATTGAATGCATTTCAGAGGAAAGCAAGATTAATTCCCACCCTTGTATAGGTGGGAAAACCAAAGCACGTGTAAAAGTTCTTCAACAGATCAAGTGCTGCACTGAGAACACAACTGGAATATAAATCTTCAGCCTCTCAGACTTGTGGCTTGTCTATTCCCTGTTTGGAGAGGGTTTATGCACRAGCATGATTAAAAATGCCCAAAAACTATGCCTTGACTGAGTTATTTCATGGCAACTGATGTTGAGGTCTGTTATTTTTTTTTCCAAGGCTCACATARCAAAGGGGGAGAAAATAGAAAGGTTTGGAATGTGTTTGCAAAGTTATAGGAGTGATGATTGATCAGGACAATGTGGAAGTAGAAATCTTTCAGAAGGGGACAGAAGACTGAAGAGTTGCTCAGATGGTAGACGGATGAATTGTTCAAGAGGTCACACGAAATGGCAGAGGGTAGAAGATCTGTCATGGAAAAAGAAGAAATGCTGAGGAGATATGTGGGGCATGGGGAGCCCTGAAAATCTTGCTCTCTCACAAAGTTCCGGACCCATCAGGTAAAAGAAGTCTTGAGGAGGTGGAAAAAGCAGGGCCAGATCACTTATGGCAAAGTCCTATGTCACTTGGGAGAGGAAAAGGGAGGCTCAGGGTACCTGTGTTTGGCCKTTCTGGGGTGCTTACAACTAAGAAAGATGTGTTGGATTTCCAGATAATTCACAGAAATGGAGGGAAGAAATTATTGGCTGATAAATTTGGTGAAATTTGTTTTTTCTCACCCTTTTCCTTCCTCGCTTTACTCTCAACTGCCCTTTAAATATAAGAGAGTTTCAGAAACCACAGAAAAATTCTCTTGTTCTTACAGCACTCTATAAGAAGTTGTATTAGCTGTTGATATTGCCCACTTAGAAAAATTTTGGCTCTGTTTTTTCTTTTTTAATGATGCCTAATATTACAAAAGTCAGGTTGTTCAACAGMTTTATCTAGTTTTATCTTAGGGTTTGCTCTTTTCTTGTTGCCTGTTTGAATATTTTTAGCCTGGGCAAGAGAGAGGAACTGGCCAATTCATTACCCCTGTTCATTAGCACTGGTTTACTGCTGTGTACCACTGGGCATGCTAGAAGAGGAATGTAATTGTTTTTTGTAAAGAAATTTTGAGATTAAGGCAAACAAGGAAGAAAAGAGGCTTGAGGAGGTCAGCTACCCCATTTCCCAGCCTCAGGACAGAACTGGTTCTGTGCCATCAATCTGAGAGGTGTTTGACACATTTGACTTCCTGAAACCTCTGGCAGGTCTGATTTCTCGATCTCTTCTAGTTTCTATTCTAACAATCCACAACACTGTAATGTTATTCCTCATATATATCCCAGGCTCCCATCTTACTGTGATTTGCTGCCTGTACTTGAGCTGTTTACCAAGGGCATGGAAGGTAGGTTATTCTTTTTACAGCAGCTAACACTGTTCTCACCTCTCCTCTCTGTCCTCCTTCCTTTAGGCTGATGAACATTGTGGCTACTGATGCAGTTTTACAATGAATATCCCAGCTCCTCTGTAATATTTTCATTCAGACCATATTTTCCCTAGTTTGGTTTTGCCAAGCTCACATGAAACACTGTCAAAGCCCTCAGCACAATGTACGTGTTTTTTTTTGTGCTTGCCTTGTCTTTGTCATAGAAAGAAACACACTTGATTGGATCTGTTTGTGACAGACGTGGGTGGGATTTTGCAAACCTCCCAAATACTGGGAAGATGTTCCCAGAAGGAGTGTTAATTTTGTTTTCCCTTGGAGTTAAAGTTTAATGAAGCAAGCCATAACTCTGACTCCTCCCTTTCCCCTTTTCTAAGATGGACATTGTCTTCATAACTCTTCTGGAAGCATCCTAACCCTGCACAAGCAGTCAGAGACCACTTCTGATGGCTCCAAGGGTTCTGAATTCCTCTGGATTAATTACATCCAAATAAAAACTTCATAGTTTATCTACACTTATCTACTTTGTTCTTTATCAATTCTAACCTGAGGTTATCCCTGATATTACTGGCATTAATTTTGTTGACTGCCTGATCCGAAATGTTTTTTTTTTTTTAATAGATACTGAAGCAAAAAAAAAATCATTAAACACTTTCTTGCTTACTGATGTTTAATTAAAGAGCTTTCAATGCCTCTTAATAGATCTGTTAATCTCTTGTTTTCCTTTTACTAGCATTGTACAAATGCAAGCTTTAACATAGTTTTTTTCCACTGTCAGCTGTATATTACTTTCTGCCATGTCCCCTGATTTTCATCTCTATACATCTGTGCCATCACTGCTTGTAAATTTTATCTCTTTTCCCAGAATCTACATGCTGCTTCTCTGTGGAGAAGGTTGCTGAAGAGCCTTAAGATTGAGTCTCTTTCTCCATGCCATTTCTGTGAGGACAATTTGTGAACTGGGTATGCTTTGTTTAAGGACTGGAGGCTCTCATAATTTTTTCCTCATAGGATCTGAATTMTGTTCATTTAATTCCATATTCAACAACTTATTTTGCTCTTCTCACTTTTTCTTCTCCTACGACTCTGAGACCTTATCGTTTTCTTCCTCTCTACCAGTTTCCTCACCTGCTTTTCTGTTTCAGTGCATTTCACTACTGTCCGCATCAAATACCCCTCCGAGGGATTTCAGAGACTTTGTATCCACAGTATTTCTTCTTGCATATGGCTGAACACCCTGTGGAGCAGCCTGTGATCTTGTCTCAGCTCATCCCTTACTTCCCCTCACTACAGGTAACCACTGTCATGTTTCAGTTTGGCTAAAGTTTCATAATTTGGTTTCTAAATTGTTTTCTTATGGTTTGAAATTACCCCAGCCATCTCTGCCCTCTCTGTCAGATCTTATTCCAATTTACCAGCCACACTGAGGCTTGTTTTACAAAATCCCTCAGCGAAGATAGCAGCAAAGAAAACTCAGAAATGCTGGATGTGTGTGTGGTGGGGCTTGTGAAAATGAGTATAGCAAAGTTAATTTCAAGGCTGTTATGAAGTCAGTAAACTGGAGACAGAGCTGATAGAAGTTTCTTGCAAAGACCCCATTTTGCTCTTGAGTGAAGCGGATGAAGATGTTAACTCAGTCACGTCCTCCTTGTCAGCAGTGTTCTGCTGCATTGGCTGAAACAATTGTTTTCTTCTCATAGAAGTCCAACAAGTAATGAAACCTTAATCCTTCTGTTTCTTAAGCAGAATATCATGTGTTCTCTATTTTAATTGGATTGAGGCCTTGCTGATACTTCATTAGTTCAACTATGAGCCTTACAGAAATTCTTGTGCCTAAGTTCTGATCTCCTGAGTTGTGGTTCAGCATCACGTTCCTGTGCCTGAGTGTGCCTGCCGTATCATTCTGTCAAAATTCCTGTCTAATATGGACTTGTGTTGTGCAAATATTGTATCTTTGGTGGGTACTTTAATTATCAGAGGAAGATGGGTGGAAGAAAACTGTGAAGTCCAGAATGTGCCCAGTGTGTGATCATAGAATGACTTGGGTTGGAAGYRACTTTTTAAAGATCATATAGTCCAACAYCCCTGCAATGAGCAGGGGCATCTTCATCTACATGAGGTTGCTCAGAGAAGCTTGCAGAAATAGTGTTGTTGCGTTTGTTTATCATTGAGGATACAGCTCAATCTCATCAGTTCCCCCATGCTGTTTACAACACAAATTCAACAGCCACCTGCTGCACATGAGAGTTTSAAACTCAAATTAACTCTGAAGTGGGAACAGATTTTGTAGTTCTGTGTGACCAAAAGTTTGTTAATTCTATAATTAATCTTGGACTGTCTGTAAAAGAAAATGAACATTYTTTAAATAGTCCTGACAGACCAATAGGAACTCAGGTTTGGCATCACCAGACTCCTAACTTACCTTGAATTATGACTCTTCCAGGAGTAGCAGCAATCTTTGTTACTGGGTACTGCCATTGCAGCGAATCCCTTGTCACTAACCGGAGTTGCCTCTGATTTGGTTCAATGTTCTTTGTCCAACAGGGATGGGAGAGCAAAAACTAATAATTTAAAAAAAAAAAAAAAACCAAAAAAAAAAAAAAAAAAACCAAAAAAAAAACAAACAGCGGAAAGTATATTAATGGTGAAAAAAAACCTGTGTGGAGGAAAAGCGCTTCAAGCAGCGGCTCCGAGCCGTGAGTGCCCGCCCGGCCGAGCGAGGCCTCAGCTCCCGGAGCGGCGCTGCCGTGGCTGCCATCTGCAGGCCCGGCCTTCGGGAGCACGGCCCGCTGCCGAGACACCTTCATCGGTCAGTGCCACATGGCAAAATCAGCATAGGCAGTGTGCACTCACAGCCCGCAAAGCCAAACGTGTCCTGGGCTGCATCCAAAGCAGCGAGGAGAGCGGGGGATGGAGGGGATCTGCCCCTCTGCTCTGCTGGGAGCCCACATGGAACACTGCACCCARCACAGGACAGGGAGCTGGTGGARMCAGGMCACCSGAGGGTCACCGAGCTGGTCACAGGGCTGGAGCACCTCTCCTGGGAGGAAAGGATGGGAGGATCGGGGGTTTTCAGCCTGGAGAAGAGAAGGCTCTGGAGKGAYCTCATTCTGGCCTTGCAGTGCCTGAAGGGAGCCTACAGGAAAGATGGAGAGGGACTTTTTATGAGAGCRTGTAGTGACAGGACAAGGGGGAATGGCTTCAAATGAAAAGARAGTAAGCTTAGATTAGATATTAGGAAAAAGTCTGTACCATAAGTGTGGTGAGACACTGGAACGGGTGGCCCAGAGAAGCTGTGGATGCCCAATCCCCAGCAGCTCAAGGCCAAGCTGTATGGCACTYTGAGCACCCTGGTCTAGTGGAAGGTGTCTCTATCTATGGCAGGGSGGTTGGTACTTGTTGATCTTTAGGGTCCCTTCTGACCCCAACCATCCTATGATTCCATATACTTTTATTTGTTACAAAGTGCAGACCAGGTACTGCTCAGGAGAATGTTAAACACAATAAATTTGTGTATGTTTTGATGTCTTGAAACACGTAAACCTTGTAGGAATCTTTATCAGGGCTCTTTTCCCCCTTGTTACACTGGTCTGCAACTTTCCCCCACAGGTCACGTCCTTTTTTTTTTTTTCCTCCCTTACCTTGTACTTTGTTTGGCAGCCACCAGGAGCCTGTGGTGTAACCCCAGCAAGAGCTGCTCCTGGTGTTGTCAGGGAGCAGACAGCAGTAGAATTGATGTGACTGGTTTCAACATCCACCATTTTCATATCTAAATAGTCATGGCACTGAGCCATATCATGAGGGCCTTTCCCACTGCATACAGTGGAAAGATTTCCATCTTGCTGGGACAGAGCGAGTCTTGCCTGGCATCTTAACCACCCACAATAATTAGTCAGATGGTAACTAGTCAAACATGGCTTTACCCCTGCTTACAACATTTTTTTGTCTTTCAAAAAGTAAAAGAGCAGCTTTCAAAAGTAAAAGAATGATGAAAATTTTAAAAAACCTGCTTCAGTCTGTGACCATGTCAGTAATCTATATAAGGGAGCACCTTACCACCAGCTTGCTCTGATACTCTTTCTGCATCTTCCAGTCCTATTTCATTGATGCTTTTAATGGTGGAAATGAGCTTTGTCATGGAAGGTATGAATGAATATGACAGCCATGGACTCATGTCATGCACGACTGTTTTATGTGTATCAACTGCAGAGGGTCGGAGTGTAAAGCGAGGCAGGCTTTGGCAGTTATATGAGTGAATGTAATTATTATTACTACTATAAGCAAGTTTATTCTTCCTTCAAAAACCTCTTGTTCTCCTCAGTACYCAGACACCTGTGCAGTGCAGAGATGTTCGGAGCAGTGCAGGGGCATGTGAAGATGCTACCCTAAACCATATCAATTTTTCATGACCCATCTGTTCATGCTTCCTCGCTTACCTGGGCAGTTCTGTCTGATGCATACTTCATTTGGAGATGGCTGCTCATTATACCCTTTCACCTGTGGTACTGCATCGAGTTCTGGGGTCCCAAGCACAGGAAAGGCTGTTGGACCTGTTGGAGTGGGTCCAGACGGGGGCTGCAAAAATTATTAAAGGGCTGAAACACCTCTGCTATGAGGAAAGGCTCAGAGAGTTGGGGTTGTTCAGCCTGGAGGAGAGTGGGGAGACCTTGTTGGAGCTTTTCAATATTAAAGGGGTTTTCTAAGAGAGATGGGGMCAGACTGTTTACCTGAGCCTGTTGCAATAGGACAAATGGTAATGGTTTTAAACTAACAGAKGATAGATTCTGGTTAGRTGTAAGTGTCCTGGTTTCAGCTRGCAKAGAKTTAATTTTCTTCCTGGTWGCTGGTACAGTGCTSTGTTTTGGATTTCGTATGAGAACAGTRTGATACCACTGATATTTTAGTTACTGCTAACTGTAGTTAGCAGTAGTTAGAGTGTGACTGTAGCTCAAAGACTTGTTGGTTTCCCACACTGCCAGTGAGGAGGTGCACAAGAAGGGAGGGAGCATGGCCAGGACAGCTGATCCAAACYGGCTGAARGGATGTTTCATATCACAGAATGTCAGGCTCAGTACAGAAACTGGGGGGAGTTGGCCTGGAGCCACATTCACTGCTGGAGGACGGGCTGGGCGTTGCTCAGCAGGTGGTGAGCAGTTGCATCACCTGTGTTTCTTGGGGTTTACTCCTCTCTCTCCTTTTCRTTACCATTATTAGTGTTTTTGTTGTTATTATCATTGCTATTATAATATTTCAATTCAATTATTGAACTGTTCTTATCTCAGGCCCCAAGCTTTACTTGTTTTCTGATTCTCCTCCCCACGGGGCGGTGAGAGGGAGCGAGTGAGCAGCTGTGTGGTACTTAGTYGCAAGCTGGGGTTAAACCACCACAATATACAGAAGAAATGTTTTATGGTCAGAGGAATAAAACATTGGAACAGGTTGTCCAGAGAGGTGGTAGATGCCCAATCCCTGGAAACATTCAAGGTCAAGTTGGATGGGGCTCTGAGCAATCTGGTCTAATTGAAGGTGTCCCTGCTCATTGCAAGGGTGTTGGACTAGCTGATCTTCAAAAGGTCCCTTCCAACCCAAATCATGCTATGATTCATATAGGGATTTTTTTAGT